GCCATTCCTAATGGCGCTTTCTGCTCCTGTAAAGATGTACAGCCTCAGAAACCCTATGCAGGGTTGTATGAGGCAGAACCAACACCATGGCACACAACCACCACCACCAAGTCTTTATATGAGCAGAGAGCCTTACCTTTCTCCCGAGGGCAGCTGTTGGGTTTGAGCCTTGAGGTTAGCAGCCTAATGCTTAAGCTGCTGAATCATTAGGACATCTTTTACTTACTCGTTGTTAAGTGCCATTGAGTTGGTTCCAATTCATAGAGGCCCTGTATAGGGTTTCTGAGGAGCAGCTGGTGGGTTTGAACTGCCAACCTTGTGGTTTGTAGTCCAGTGCTGATCCTACAGCACCACACCAGGAGTCCTATTTAAGTAACACTAAAAAGTAGTTATTTCAATCCCACTCGGTATTCTGAAGAGCAAAACAGAATCTTTCTGTTGCCTCCAATATGGTTTTAGGTGTGTTTTCTTTTTTAAAAAAATGTTGGTTGACTGTCAATTGGGAATTGCCCCTACCCTCACCCTTAGGAAAAAAAGTGACAACATAGTTCAAGTGTATTTCTTTTAAAAGAATGTATTTTTAATACATTATCTAGTTCTATAATTCTGAATTGGGACCATGTCCCATCATTCTAAGGAGCTCTGGTAGCATAGTGGTTACAAGACGGGCTGCTAACCTCAAGGTCTACAGGAGAAAGATGAGGCTTTCTGCTCCCGCAATAACTTACACAGCCTTGGAAACCCTATGCAGGGATGCTGTGAGTCGGAACCAATTCCACAGCACATAACCATCACCACCACCACCACCACCACTCATCATTCTAGAACATACAGGATCGTAACAAAAGTTTGGAAAGATTGACACCCAAATTACCACATAGGAGAAGCAAACACCACCTCTCATAAATTTATCAAAACCAACCTTCCTTCTTTTCACCCTTCCTTTCTCTTTCCCTCTTCCCTTCCTCTTTTTCTAATAAGCAACTTCAGTTGTTTCCTACGTTAATATCACTACTGTCATCATAGTAAATGACTTCAAGTATCAACACTGTGTTTTCTTTGTGAGTCCCAGATTTTATCATTTGATACCTTGCAAGACCTTTTGTTCCCTTGATTCAATGCTGCCCAGTTCAGCTATATTTCATTATCTTTGAGGGGTAACAGGTAACTAAGACATAGCCTTGACCCTTAAGAGCTGGTCCTATGGTAGAAAGACACATGAAGATCCGACCAACATGATATGAGTCTCTGAAGAGGGCTGAGCAATACTGGGAATAGATGGATAGGGCGCAATGTAACTGCAGGGGATGAGATCAGAGGGCTTTAAAAAGAAGGTGGAGTCTAAGCTGCACCATTGTTTTGTCTTTTTTTTTTTTTTATTGTTTGTTTTATCCCTAGTGATATATCTTTTTTCTAATTATTTTATTACAGTAATTTTTATCACTTTATAACTATAGTCTCTTTAAGGTGATTTTTAGGTAACAAGGATATAACGATAGTAACATTTTACAGTCTTTTTGTTTTCCTTACTAACTGTTCTAATTTACTGTTTTAAATATTGTTCCTTCTCAGTCTAGCCATTTGCCAGCCAAACTCTCCCCTCTCTTCCAACTACTCCTTCTTCTGGAGCATAGTGGAGCTTATTTGTAATACTTTATAAGCCCTTTAAAGTAGAAGCCAACCACTTAATGACAGGCAGTTCTATGGGAGGTTATTATGTTTTAAGGGGACATAATCTGATCCTCGGCACATTTGAACGTCCAGAATTATGGCCTGTGATGTAATGTGCTGATGCTGAGTTTCCAGGTACCAGATCTGTCCTTCTGCTGAACATGCTGTTTCGGCCATTCTCCAAGCCATATGGATAGAAGATGAGGACCACTACTCTCAAATCCTTTCAACTCCAGACTCCACTTACTAGAGAGTAAGTGGGAAGATTTATTAGACTATAACGCCACTGAGTTTTTGGAAGTTCTTTAGAAGAAAATCTCATGAGAAAACAAGAAAGAAAAAAAAAGCATGCATTTTAATCCTTTACTGGGAAAAAAAAAAAAGAATATACGAATATACAACATTATGTTCGATGTAGCAGAAGAAATTGAAAATCGTTCTGAGTAATATCTGGTATGTGACAATATTACTCTATGTCACTTAACTATAGATACCTACACTACTTAGCATAATCTGGCTGTTAATGAGTTGAAGAGTTAGATTAGTTATAATATGCAGTCTTGATAATACATGTGAAGAATGAACAAATCTGTCTTGGAAGAAGTACGGCCCAAATGCTCCTTAAGAGCCAGGTTGACAAGACTTCATTCTCAGGGACTTCGGGCATGTCAGTAGGCGGGATCAGTCTCTGGAGAAGACGTCATGCTTGGGAAAGGAGAGGGCCAGCAAGAATGTGGCTGCTACGGTGGGCGCAAACATAGGAAAGATTATGAAGATGGCGTGGGACCCGGCAGTGTTTTCTTTTGTTGTACACGGGGGTGCTATGAGTCAGAATCGATTTGATAGCACCCTGTACAGGGTCGCTATGGGTCGGAACCGACTCGATGGCACTTAACAACAACAACAACAACATGGTGATTCGATATTTCTGTCTAGTCTCTCAAATCAGTACCTACAAGTGTCAAAAGCTGGGTGCATGAATGCAGGGAGGTGAGGAAAATTTGTTTTTTTTCATATCATTTATTAAATAAATGGCCATATTTGCTTCAGCCAGAGCTGGAAAAAGATACCCAACCCTGTCTCTTCCTTCCCGGCCTGGTGATTCTAAACCTCTCTTTAATTCACAACTTTAACAGCAAATTCCCTGAGGCTCTTAAACTACCATGCAGTAAAATGCATTTCCATACTTTATAAAGGATGCCACTCATTCTATTGCAGCCAACTGTCTGCAATATGGTGGGCAGGTCTTTTCTGCTAGAGGTGCTTTCCTGGGATATACACTTTCACACATGCCCATTCTATCTTTCTTTCAATATTCTTGAATTTCAATGAGTAGTAGACAATGATTAGAAATGACCAACTGTACAATAAGGAACCTCTGTTGGAAGCTGGGGCAAAGGCCAGGGTACTAAGGAAATGATTTATTGCTCTTTCCAGTACTGAAAGGATGCTTGAAGGAAAAGGGAGAAAAAGAGGGAGGGGGGGTCTTTTTAAAATACACAGAGGAAGGAAAAGGTTGTGTTCAGCACTGGAGGGGCACGAAGGTCTCTCCTGAAGATTTCCTTCTCTAGCATTATTTCAGAGTTCACACTTAATTCTGATCCAGTGTTCTCTGCATTTCATTTCATTTTTCAAATGAATTGTTTTTATTTTTGGAGCAAACCCCCATACCACCGTTTCTAGACATAATGACCAATGCTGTTGTTGTTAAGTGCCATCGAGTCGGTTCCAACCATGGCAACCCTGTATAGGGTTTCCGAGGAGCAAATGATGAGCTTGAACCACTGACCTTGCAGTTCAAATGGCTTTGCAGTCTGGCGCATTAACCCACAGCGCCACAATAGCTTTGGTTTTATCCTTCACGTTGTGGCAACATGTTCTTAGTTGCTTCACTCCCATTAACTTACACCCTCTGCCCCTCACAACCTTCTCTGCACATCATAATAAACAGACACTTCGCTATTTTGACAGGGGAACACACAACCAACTCTCAGGGCCATAGAGTGAATGGATAGGGACAAGGATTTCACATGTTCCCAAGTCAGAATGAGAAAGGAGGTCAATATTGTTGGCTCAGGAATTCAATAATGCATAGAGCTACTACTTCGTTCTGGGGCCCTGCCCATTCCCTTATCTAATAAACTCCATCTTTGACCTATTTTCTCTGATCCATTATAGCCGATTAAAAAAAAAAAGATAAGATTTCTGTTGTTGCATATGTGTGTGTGTGTGCACACCCGCACACATATACGCACATGTTTGTGTGCACACGTACACAAAGAAACTAACATTATTCTTTTTTTCAATCCCTGGCTTCCTAATCATTTCTTCTAGCAAATAGATGCTTCCTTATTTTCACATTTCTAAACTAAGAGTACTTAAGAGAGCAATTTGTTTATTCAGTTTCTGTAACATATGATGAGTTGTAGCTCTGGGTTCTTGATTTCCATTAACTTCCTATAAATTGCTAACTTTATCTTTTCTTAATGTAACACATTTAGTATTAACTGCAGAATATGCTTCCTCTTAAAGTCTAAGTGCCCTGGTGGTGAGGTGTGTTAAGCACTGGGCTGCTAACCACAAGGTCGGTCGTTCAAACCTGCCAGTCTTTCTGAGGGAGAAAGATAAGGCTGTCTGTTCCCATAAAGATTTACCATCTCAGAAACCCTATACAGTCTCTATGAGTAGGAATCTATTACAATCGATTATCATGGGTTGGCTTTATTTTGTGGCTTCTATTAAAATCTATCTGGAAATAAGAGTTACATTTTGGTTCTCTGGAAATCTCTGTTCTACAACGCCATAATTAAGTTCAGAGATCTGAGGAATGAAGGCCTCAAACATTTGTTGCAAGAAAACAGGAGGAAGAAATAAGGGTTAAGATCCCTAGGATGTGTATTAGTTGATGAGTCATTTTGTTACAGGCAGTTCTAGTTAATCCCAGATAGCCCCCAATGTAGCTGAGGAACTCAGTTTTTTGTTTCAACAGAGACTAACAATACTGGATTTCAGCAGAATTCTCTACCAGGGGAAACAGACAGATGTGCATGAGACAGGCCAAAGAGCTGTGGCCCCAAGTAGCATGCTCTGTCCATGAGGTCACAGTCCACAGGGATGTCTGGGAGAGTGCAGCCTGTGCACTCATAATGCTTTCTCACTACTCAGCTCAAGCCCCAAATATAAAGTCATTGCTATCATTTCCAGAACACGTTCACTTGCATTGCCTTTCTTCTTAGTGAAGACTAGCAATTTCATGAAATGTATGCACACTGCAAACCCAATACAGTGCAGTGTGTGGAGGACTATATCCCTCCACATTCCATTCTTACCTCTTCGCGAGTATCCCTGAAGGATGAATTTTGAGGTCCTCCTCTCCTAGAAATGGAAGACTTGGCGGTGTCTTCTTGTTGCCCAAAGAGCTCTTCAATGGTCTTTGTATCAATCTGATAGTGATGCTTCTGCCTGGCTGCCAAGGTCCAGATGTTGGTTTTGCCTCGAACTTGCTCCTCTGGAATGGTTTTCCAAAAAAAGCTTCTCATCCGCTTCTTCTTCCCAAGGTGACTGTATCCGTTCATGTGAGAAGGTGAGGGCAGTCCTGGAGCGGGAGGTGGCGGGGGAGGAGGAGGAGAGGAAAGAAAGCCTTCCGCTGAAGATGGACATGGTGGAGGTGGAGGGGGTGGAGGAGGAGGTGGAGGAGATGCTGATGGTGCTGTTTGCCCAATCATTAATCCAGCTGCTGAGGCGATATTCCCATGTTCTTTATCACTGACCAAAGAGACACAGTTCATAACATGCATAGTACTGTTGCCTTCTAAGGAGATAATTTCTTGATCTTGGGAAAGCAGACGCAAACATCAAACTTGTGTCATACTTTTTCACCCACAAGTCTGCTGCCAGAGAAAAAGGCAATTGTGCTTCATGTCATCTTCCAAACCTACAAAGATAAAGCAACTTTAAAATCAATATCGCTTTTCCCTTCAGAGGCAACTGTGAGGTCCTCCCATATTAGTTGGGTATTAACATTAATGAGGGGCAACACATCCCAAAGTGCATGAAAAGGGACTCACGCTTTTCTAAGTATCAATCAAATCTGACTGCCTGGAAATGCTGTCAAAGAAGTAACAATAAATCCAACTTTGAAATCTTTTCTTAAACAATAAAGCATATATTTATTGAGAATCCACTATAGGTTCTGCAAGTATTGCTCATTTTATGAATAAACTATTTGCTCACTAACTAGTTCCTTCTCTTCAGGCAATGGATGCCCAACCCTAGGGAAAGTTGCCCAAATTGCTATAGTGTAAGGCATGAGTGACCCTGCCTTCTCCAGTATGGGCATGTCCCTTACCAATCAGTGGGTCAAAAGGCATCTTGTATCTTGCTCATAGTAGGCAGGGCATTTGGAGATGACAAAATAATGGCCTAACCCACTTCCCTGGAGTCAGTCACCATGTTCTTGCTCTAATTGGCCATGTGACTTCCTTCAGCACAGAGAGAAGAACACTACATGCAATGATTGGAGGCTCCAGCTCCAAACGAAGCTTTACTGTCTTCTATTTTAGACGAGTTCCTTTGCCTCGCTAGACTTTGGTGTTCTTGCTTGTCAAGTCAGGAGACTAGGATACATCCCTTCTAAAGCTATCATTTTTATTCTATCTAAGTCACACTTTGGAAACTACCACCGCTCTCTTCACATCCCTCTCTTCAGCTTCTCACAACCAAGAGAGACACACACAAAGGCATGCTGCCATAACCTAACTGCCACGTGTCTATCCCTTATCCACACAGTCAGGAACTTATTTTTGTGGCTTGTGTTTTTATTAAATTATTTTTGTTTCAGGGGTGTTGGGTTGTGATGGGCCTGGTGGGAAAACAAGGCTCAAAACAACTATATGTCTTTAGACATGAAAACAGGTAAGTGGGGAGTAGAGGAAGAGACTCCATGCAGACTGCCAAGTGGATGTCTAGACTAGGTGGAAGTGTGAAAACACTTTTTCTCCAGATCACAAAATGCTACATGAAGGGGTTTTTTACTGGAGTTCTGAGCAGATTTACCCTTGTCGAGCAACATTTGTCAAAGCCCATATTTACACAGACAAATTGATTAAACAATATTGTATTATTACCTGGCAGCAAACCAATATCACTGATTCAAATATTACGAAATGCTTTATACAGAACTCTATGAAGGGACTTGAAAAAGTTTATGGAAATTTCCTATATCTTTTCATTACATTTTCCCATGGAGTTTTTGAAGCCTTTTTGTATATGAAGGCAGGATTGCTTTGGGATGAAAAGGTGGAGATTCTGAACTATTATTTCTCAAATCTAGTCCTGCATCTCCTTAAATGGGCAACCTAGGGTGTATGTTTCAGCATCCTTATCTATGAAGACAACTGTTTCATGGATTTGTATTAAAAAAATAATAAAGTCCTTACCAAGATATCTGTGACATAGCCATTATTAACAGCAACAATACACTAGTGTTGTACGTACATGAAATTTCTCTGTATTTTCACAGGTATTGTACTTGCTGTAGTGGCGCCGTAGGATAAGCACTGGACTGCTAACTATAAGATCAGTAGTTCAAACCCACCAGCCGCTCCTTGGAAACCCTATACCAGGTCACTATGAGTTGGAATCAACTCAACGGCAATTAACAACAACAAATATTTGCTTTAAAATTTGGCTTAAGTTTATAAACAAAATGCCGAGTTACCTCTGGTTGCCAGAAACATACCTTTAATATTTCCATTCCCTATGCTCTAAATTATGAGATGTGTGAGGTTTGTCTTTTTTCAAGACTCAGTGATGGCAAGAATTTCTATGAAATATTCAAATATTTAAGTTTTTTTTTTAAATTAACTATGTGTGGATAGAAGACGGCATTTCCAACTGTTAATTGGATAATTTTTTTTTAAAGATGCAGAAATGAAAATTTTATCTCAGCAGACTTATAGTTTATTTGAGATCCAACTGGCTCTTAAAAGGAGTTTTCATAATTATCATTAAGGGGCATAACTAGGCTGTTTTCATAGTTGGCATCTCTAAAGCAAATGACTCATTGTCAATTATAGTTTATAGTTATATTTGAACTCTTCTATTTTCAAGACTGTACAGGTAATTTTGGCAGTTTATCCCTACTTGTTTTAAAATATTCTTGTACATAAAATAGTCCATTTATAGAAAAGTTGTTAATTCTTCAATTCGCCTCCAATTCTAGATATGCTTACTTATTCAAAGATTATCCCTCTAAGAATAATGCTAAGCGAAAAACATTTCCAACCTAGAAAGCATAACTCATGGTGCTGTAAAAGTATTTGCCCAGATGTGCTATTAAACCGCACACACAAAAAAAATGTAGAGAATGGGGAGATGCTCAAAGGGAAGGCAATATCGCTATCTTCTAATACCAAAGCCCCAAAAGAATGCAATTCTTTTTGAATATTGTGCTTTGCCTAGAGAAAGCACCAGATAAAAGTCTGTTAAAGCAAAAACCGACATATGTTAGGTAGGCAATCACATGACTCTAACCATCTTGAGAAAGAATGTCCTTTTTAAAAAGCTAAGGGAACAAAAGAAAATTTACAACACTGTCCCTGGCATGTTGTTTGGTTAATTTTCTCCCAGGGTAACAGGCAAGGATCCTAGCCACCCAACAACAATGATTAGCCAAGATGCTAATGCTTTTACTACCAGCAATACTTCAACAAAGCTTCCCCACTGGCCAGGATTTCCAAATTCAAAGAGATAGTATGAAAAGAACAGTGTAAACAGACATTCTAACCTGTTCCACAGTTCCAGGAGATAAAGATATATTTAAAGGGAGGATACAAAAAGAACATTTGATTTACTATGGTACTGTTCAGCGTAAAGATATAAATGCATAATGCAGGCCAAGACAATGGAGTTAGCCTTGGCTCTGTCTGGAAAATGTCAAGTGTCCCATCAATCTCCTCCGGACAGAGACAGGCTTGTATTTAACATCTCACCTACAAACTGGGGACCTAAGCAGCAGGATGAAGCTTGTTGAGGCTGATCTGAAAGAACAGATGTCCTACTATGGATAAAATGCAGAACTATCACAGTAAGTGTTGGAAGATAGAAATTTCTCAAGTCCCTGAGTACTAATCATGGTTCATTAGATGTGGGTCTGATGCTGGAGCTTCCTGATTAAGCATAGCTTAACTATGTGAAATTTCAATGACCAGATAATGTGGTCATGTACTTAATCTCTGGATAGTCCATAAGCAAAAAGTCTTAGAATAAAAAAGCTCATAAAGGTCTTCACAGAAGCCCTCTCCCCACTCCCACCCCAAAAGTGCTCTTGCCTGAACAGCCAGCACTGCTTTAGCCTTGTTGGTATCAGAAACAACCCACACAATCCACTCTGAGGACAGTAAAGAGCATGTGTAGGTTTATCTCAGTACATTTACAAGAAAAACATGTTCTGAGAGTCAGTTAAGAGCTCAGGATTTCCTACAATAGGGCCAGTGGGGTTTTCTTGTTGGGCAGGTCACTCACCTTCTTGGCCAATAATGATCAAAAGTGACTCCAAGAAAAACCTGCCAGGAAACCTTTCCCCTGCTATGTGGGGCAGATGAAGTGGGGTCAGGAAGAACTAGCCCCACACCCTTCTGATGAAAAATGGGTTTGGAGAAAAGAGGCAGAAAAACACAAATCTATTTTATTTGGGGGGAAAGGGTGGGAAGAAAAGGTGAGAAAAGTACACGCAATTCTAAAATATGGAATTTTTGCTCTAATTCCACCACTCTCACTTATCTTTCAAAGCCTTCGCTTATTTTTAAATATAGAATGTCAATCATTCTGAGTGAACTAGAGCTACCATATCCAACTCTTCCCCCTTGGCACTCTACTCAGCAGTAAAAAGGCCCCAGACAGTGTGTTTCCACTCAGCGTACTTAATCTGTGGCACCACGTAAACATTTCACAGATGCCTAACACCCCAAGAGCAACACCCTGAGCGCGGAGGAGGAGGAACGCCCAGCTCTCAGTGTCTCATCACTCAGGGAAAACAGCGCACGAACGCCAAAGGATGCTCTAGAGAGAAGGGAGGGTAGTGCTTGCTACTCCTTCTAGGAGGATAACTGTGGGTCAGTAGAGAGGGAGTCACAGAGGGCGGAGCAAAAAAGGGTGATGGATGTGCTGAGAGATGTTTGAAAACTGACCACTTAGTCCAGAAAGACATTCGGTATGTAGGGCACCGGCAGTACACCGGGTTTTCGTTAGTCTGGCTCATAGTTTCCTAGGTGTTAGCATTGGCGCGCGCGGCCCATCGCCTCTTTCCGCCTTCAACCCCACGCCCCACATCCCACACGAGCCACTCACCAAAACGCCACCAGCTCGGCAGCCTCGGGAACACAAAGGGTTCCCAGAAGGCCGCGAGGCCCCCGCCAGCAGCAGCCACACACCCGCGTCGACCAAATCCCTGTGTGCAGCCCCTGGAGGCAGCCAAAACTAGGAGGTCCCCGCGGGCCACCGCAAGCCAACAGCCAGTGTCCCTTATCTGGGACGAGCCCAAGCGCTCCACTGGCAGACGCCGGACCGTGACCGGGTTAGGGAGGGCGGGGTGCGGGTGCTCTGCGGAGATAGTAGCCCAACGGCGCGCGCAGGCTCTGAGACCAAGGGCGCTGGGGGACAGAGGCCACTCCCGGCCGTGCTAAGAGTGCAGCCCTGAACAGACCAACGCCGGAGTCCGACGGACGCCTAGGAAAGACATGATCCTTCGCCTCCCGGGAGCGCTGTGTGTCCTCTCAATCCATTGGCAGAAGTGAAT